GCAAAATTTGACTCATACCTTGTGATGGTACAAGATAGTTGAACTGAATTTCTTTTTCAAGAGCTAAAGTATAAAAGCAATAATAAATAAATAAATAAATAATTACATACTTGTTTGTGTTGTTTGTATTTCTTTGTTTTCAGTTTCAATTTGATTCTTGACTTCATCATATGAATCTTTTACTAAAAATAATGATAATTAATTATACATATAAATAGCTTCACAAACAACAACATACCATCAATATCATATTCTTCATCATTATTCATTGTATAGTGTCCAGTAGGTAATTCCTGTAAGCCTACAGTGAATGACAATGTACAGTACATGAATATGTAATATATATACCATACCTTCTCAGTCTATATCAGTAATATGAGACCCGAGATATCTTCCCAAGGCAAAGCCAAGGGAAAATATTGCGGGGCGAGGGTCTCATATTACTGATAGAGACCGAGAAGGTATGGTACTTATAATATACCTTAGGGTGGGTATTAATTGCGCTCTTAAATTTTAGCATTTTTAAGGGGACCTTGATTTAGCAAAATGTAATATTAGTGAAAATAGAAAGCAAATCAATAGTAAACCCCCATTTAATAGCATAACACAACTCAAGTAGCCAAATCTATACATTTAAATAAGGTGCACTATAAAACTATTCACGCGACGTCATGGAATCGCTTCCGTCGATCACAGTATAAAAGGAGGTGCCCTGGGCACAATATGGCAGCCACATTTGAAAATAACAAAATGACTCCCGCGCCCGCACTGGCACTGTTCTTATCATGGCTAAATCACTAGCAAAATGCATTATAAAAACATCAAAATTAGTAAAGGCGAGACTGTTAACCTACAAGCACAGGTAGAAAGCATGGCAAGAAGAGAAATGGTATAATTGACTTGAAGTAATAATTTTTTACATTATTATCAAATATTTATATTGTATATTCTGAAAATTTGTCAACAGCCTAACAAACATGGTCAATAATGCTGTCAGGCTGGTTATAAGTGATATTGGCAAGGGTATAGCCCTCACTACTACATAGAAAACCAGCCCAGGAACTGCCACCACTGGGACCAGACATGCAGCCCTGCCGACTACATACCAATTATCAGCCACCGTCATCAAGTAGAAGTGGTCACAGCAAAAGGCCTCCACTTGGTCCTCAATCAGATCCTAGTACTGGTAGGAGTTGTAACATTCAACGAACCGCTGAAAGTAGTAAATACAAAAAATATATATTCTAAATTATTAAACATATAAACAATAACAGAGTTGAATGGATATGGGGATGGTGAGAAGCCTCCTGTATATGTGTACATCTTCCCAACTGTACCAAGTAATGCCAATCAAAATATAGCAGTACTGTGATGGTAATATACCAGCACAAGTATATGCTACACAACCAATTGTTATCGCCTTAGATCAGGACTGGTATCAGTCTCAATCATACTGATATCAGTCCTGAATCATGGTTTTTGTGTAATCAGTCATGATACAACTGCAAAAATCAGCCATGATACAATCATGATAAAATTTGTACTGATCCATGCCAGAATATCAGGCATGATCTATAATATAATGTGTCAGGGCTGTACCAGTATAGGATATCAGACATGGTCCATTATTTTGGGGCAAAAGTGCTGATTCAGGCATGATAACATTTGGTTGTGTAGTACGAGCCTAAAAAATATTAATGCCAATTAATGTATGATTACTTTACACTACACATTATACTTACTTCTGTATCTACTACATAATAAACTTGAATTACGACTACTAGCGGCTGGTTGAATTAGTGTTTTGAAGTACACTCGCTAAAAACGCTAAAATTAAGTGTCGCAATTGATACCCACCCTAAGGTATTCTATACTTACTGTAAGATCAAATCGCACAAGGCCTGCCATTTTGCATTTTATGATTGGTAGTGACAATCGATAGAGTAAATTTGACTAAAAGATAAGTCTGTTCTAGTCATTAGAGTGTCCTTTGATACTTGCATAAAACTGGCCACTAATAGCAGAAAGAAAAGGCCTAAAGTTGGGCAGCAAAAAGGAAGAGAAAAGGCAGCCATTTCTTCACCATGTGGCACTATGAAATCATTAAAACCACACAGGGGAGTATATCAAGGGTGCAGGGGGTGTATATGCATAATATACCACCCGGCGGTACCGTGCCTTTGATCTTACAGTAACTATAGTATATAATTAATATATACCAATCAGTGGCAATCACTAATCCTTACCTTCCAGTATATCATCTCTATCCATTCTTTTCAATGATTCCTTCAGTTCAGTTATTGTTCTATCCTTCTCATGACACCAGGTCTCAAGTACATGAGTTAATCTTGAATCAACTGGTGTCATCTCTTTAATTTCAGTTAACACTGATTCCTTCACTTCAAGACACTGTCCAATATGATACCAGTCATCTTCAACTGGTTCCAGTATCACTGATAATTGGGATATGTCACCTATAACAATAATAATTAATAATAAATAATTAATGATAATAATAATAAATAATATCTTTAAAATTATATACAAGTAGCACATAGTTTAGAAAAGAAATTTTATTCATTTTGATAGACATATTCTCCAAAATAAATTTCAAACTATCATATAATATAGATACATGTACATGCATGAGTCCAATTATGATGTACATGTACATGTATAGCCACAAATTCCCCCACCAATCACTACAAATTCCTATACTCCAAATATGGTAGCTACTAATATCAAATAGTGTACTCCTCCACAATCATTCATGTGGTCTATCAGTAGATACAGTTTATATTAGAGTACTGGACTAACCTTTACTGATATAAGTACATGTATGTACAGTCTCAGTCTCTTGTAATATCTTATACTCTTCTTTCTGCTCTACCAGAGCTTGTTCTAATCATTAAATTATAAGAAGAGGTACATGATAAATCATTAATAAATCACGTGTCTTTAAAATTATCAAAACAGTATACCAATGAAAATACACTAACATACATGTAAATACCTGACTGAGAGATAGTATATTCACACTGACCTGATACTTCCTTGTGATCTTTGACTTGCTGTAGTTCTAATTCTTGTTGAAGATCATCAATCTTTATTAGTAGTTCCTCTTTCTCTCTCAGAGCAGCTTCTTTCTGTTTCATTAAACTGGAGGATGTTTGTATCTCTTCCTTTAACTTCTTTTGTAGCTCCTCCAGTTGTTTATGAGTAAGCTCATTGTCTATAGTATAATAATGGTTGGAGTATATCAATCAACAATAATTATTAATAACACTATATAACCTGATCTTAAAGCTTCATAGTCCTTTCCAATCACAATACAAGGTTCCTTTTCTTCCTCCAGTTCTTTTTGAATACTTTTAACTTTCTCTTGTAGCAACATAACTTGATCCTCATCCTTTTCTGCTGTTCCTATACCCAATAGTTACATTATGTATCATATTAATAATATTGATGCACCTGCTGGTACTTCAGTTGTTAGTGTGGTATCTTTACTTTGTAAAGTAGGGCCCACATCAGAATCAGCATATGATTCTTGTTTCCGAACTTTCCAACTACCATCATCTCTAATGACTTTTAATTTTACATCATAGGGTGATTTAGCTGATGACAGTCTCTGTACATCTTTAAGTACTAAATCACTAGTATCTTTATCAGTTACAACTGTAACAGACTCAAGTAGTGATGGTACTTTTAAAAGCTCTTCTTCCAAAAATAGACAATACTTCATTTTAAACTCCTTAACCACTCCTTTATATTCCTCAATAACTGGTTTAGCCTCCTTTATATTGAACTCATTTACAAAAGCCTCCAGCAAGCTAATATCATCAAGTGGACTCTTATCACATAACAACTGTAAAATGCCACTAATATCTTTACATTGAGCTAACTGACGCCTAAATAATGTGTAGTATATACCCAGTACATGTTTGATATCATCAATGGATGGAGACTGAGAATTGAAGATCGTGATTAATCCAACTTTGAAGAATGTCTCCCCCAACTTTAATCGCATCAACTTAAATTCCAAAATAACACTCTTACGAAGATAAATGAAGGGTCCTTTAATAAAATAATTAATACAATAAGTTATAAATTAAATAAAATAATTCTTACCTGGTCCAACCTTATCACCACTCCAATAGACCTCTCCTATACAATAATCATTAGTTACAGGTATATGTTATAATACATGTACTTACTGTAGTCTCTCATGATAGAATATCCTATATCATCAGTGGCTGTGTATTTACATAAAATATCAGCAAATGCCTTAAGTTTTTTACAATTAGCACAAACAGCTTCCTTTATTTCACCCAGTAGTTCTTCTCCTTGTCTATAACGTGAAAGAATCATCTCTTTTATAAGACCTGCTCGACACAGATCTATATACAACTGAGGTAATGCAGACACAAGAAATTGGTTCAAGGAATAACAAGCAAAAATTCTACAAGCAGGATGCACTAAAAATAAACAAATTAATAATACACTCATTTTTATTAAACTCACTCTCCATATCTATTCCATCAGCTACTCCATTCTCTCCTAATTCCCTCAATGCTG